AGACATTTTATTAAGATATTTTCATTCGAATGAATTATTTTAACATTTGAATATGTGGAAAATCTATTTGTGATATTCTATAGATGATAGAATAATCATAAAATTGACTGTTCGTATGAGTAGTGTTAGAAATTTGATAAAGTTAATTATTAGTAAAATATTTGTTTTTAAGTGAAAATTGAATGAATAAGTGGTAAAATCTAAATGTAATTTTATTGTTTTAGTTATATCTTGATAAAGCTGAATTAGTAGCTGATCGTCTTCTTCCAGCATTTGATACTCCAACTGGAATTCCGCATGCTCTAATAACATTATCAAAGTTAGTTTAATTTTTATTTAAAAAAAAAAAGCAAAAATTTGTTCCAGTGGAGCTTCAAAAAATTGGAATTGGGCTGGTGGTGGTTGTTCAATATTATCCGAATTAGGAACAATACATCTTGAATTTCAATATTTATCTCAATTAACAGGCAAAGATATTTATTTACAGAAGGTCAAAATCTATTCTTTTTTTAAAATTTCTTTTAAATCGATGAAGAATATTTTCTGTTTATTTTTATTTTTAGGTAGAAAAAATTCGAAAAGTTCTTAAAGATGCATCAGAAAATCATCTGTATTATAATTATATTAGTCCTCAAACAGGAAAATGGTGTCAAAGTAAAATTGAAATATTTATTTTAATTTTGATAAAAAAAAAAAAAAAAATAAAATTTAGAACAAGCATCTCTTGGTGCATTAGGTGATAGTTTTTATGAATATTTATTAAAAAGTTGGATTTTATCAGGAAAAAAAGATGAACAAGCTCGTTCAATGTATGAAGATGCTATGAAAGTTAGTTTGATTTTTTGTGTATTTTTCAATAAAATAAATTAATTAATTAAAGGCAGCAGAAGAATCAATGTTAAGAAAAACTCCAACAACAAATTTAATGTATTTTGGTGAACAACGTTCAGGTCGTTTAGATCCTCAAATGGGTCATTTAACATGTTTTGTTGGTGGTCTTTATGTATTATCTGCTTTATCTGCTGCTCTATCAACAAATACATCGACGAATAATCAAATGGAAATAGCACGATCTATTGGAACAACATGTCATGAAGCTTATATAAGAACCGGTTAATATAGAAGAATTTTTTTTTTTTAAAAATAAAATTCAATTTATTTTCTTTTTCGTTTTTAGCAACTGGCCTTGGTCCTGAAGCTTTTCATTTTGAAAGAGTTGATGTTGAAGCTAAATCATTACGAGAGAATGAAAAATATTATATATTAAGACCTGAAGTTATTGAAACATGGTTTTATTTATGGAGAAGCACACATGAGCAAATTTATCGAGATTGGGCTTGGGATGCTATTATTGTATGTTTCATATTTTAGATTTTTGTTTAAATTAAAAAAGAAAAAAAAACAAACTTTATATTTATTTAGAGTCTTGAAAAATATTGTCGAGTTGATGGTGGTTATTCCGGTATAAAAGATGTTTATTCATCATCAGTTATTCATGATGATGTTCAACAAAGTTTTTTTATTGCTGAAACATTAAAATATCTTTTATTAATTTATTCGGATGATTCTTTCATTTCTTTAGATACATATGTCTTTAATACAGAGGCTCATCCTTTCCGTATTCGCACTTCGTGAATTGTTATTTTTTGTTTTTCTCTCTTTTGTTATATTTTATCTATAACTTAATAAATTAACAAATCTTTCCATTTTTATCTTCGATTTCACAAATAAATTACAGAAAACTATCAATTTATTTATTTCATACCAATAGGGAACAAATTCATTTTATTTATTTCATTTCTATTTATAGAAATCAATCGAAATCATTAAAAATCATTGATTTCTAATGGTTTACGATGATTTTAAATTAATTTCAGTCATTTATTGATAAGATTAATGTCTTAGAATAATATATAATGATTTCTATAATAGAAATTAGTTTGTTCTCCTTTGTTTGACACACAGAATAGTTTCAAAGATTTTATTAAGAAATAAAACTAACATAATTATGATTTAATATTACTTTCCTAGTACAAATACCTAAAAGGAAGATTTAATTCTGACTCCTTTTATATAAGAACAAATATTCCTTTATTAAATAATTCATTTATAAGATATAAAAGAATTATTTGAGGACGAATATTATTCAATAGTTCACAATCGAAGAATAATAACAATGATTTAACATATATCTACGTAATCCACTCTCTCTTATATAACATTCGATTGAATGAATAAACCACTAGAAACTTCTATGTAATAGATATCATTTCGACCCTAGTCAAGATACGTAGAGTGTGCACATATTAGATAAAAAAAAAAGCAGTGAAATTAATAAAAAGACTTGTCTGACTATAAAAAGCAAATGTTCTATATTTTTACAGTTTAAAAAAAATTCGAAAGAATAAAAGGTTGATTATTAAAACCGGTCTTTCAATGAATTTCAATATTTCGATGAAAATAAAATTACTCAAACATTTTCAAAAACTACATCGATTTATTGAAATTTTTATTGAAATATCAAATATACCATTGATTATTATCAAAACTCGAGTTAGTCTTATGAAATTCGATTGAAATTCGATAAAAAAAGTGTTAGTTTCATATTTTGAACGTAATGTGTAAAGTTAAGAGATAATCAATAACACAGAAATATATATATATTATAATTCGAATTATCGTTCGATAGTAATCTATTGAATAATATCTTGACGTAATAATTATATATTTAATGATTGATTATTTAAATAAATTTATATTTGTTCCTATATAAAATGAGTCACAATAAAATCTTGTTTTTTTCAAACATAATAAAATAATTTGAAAACATTCTCAAAAACTAATGTGTTACATGCTAATAGAAAACAAATGAGTTATTGAGAATATTTAACCAATAAAATAAGATAAAATCGTAAGAATTTGACTTAATAATTTCAAAATATTTCTGCATCGAATAACTAATAAAATAGACAAAACTATTCTGTGTGTCAAATCATCATTGGATGGATCTCTGTTCTTTATTTATTCATTTTGTTTTTCTCTTTAACAAAAAACATTCCAGTTTGATTAATTAATATATTTTTTTTTTCTATCATATATTTGTGGTTTCATTGAAATAAATCATTGTTCATGAATATTTGATCAATTGAAACAAATAGTCGGATACGCATTTATTTATTACAATACGGTCAAGAAAAAAAAGTCTATTTAGAAATAAACGATTCCGGGGAGGAGATTTTTTACATAGATCAACATTCTATTGATAGTCTTACAAAAAAAGCAACTAAATATACATAAACACTAAACGAATATAATCAGATAATGTAAAAAAAACCAGTAGTGTCAAACTTGAAAGTTGAATTCAAGTATTCAACTATTCAGCTATTCAACTATTCAAGTATTCAACAATTCAACTATTCAACAATTCAAGTATTCAAGTACTCAATTAGTTAACGGCTGGAATACCACTAGAATCATCTAATATCGACAGGTATTGTCTGCGAGACTACAATCATTCCATAGGATGCTACAATTATCACCTAGAATACTACAATCATCCTCTAAGATGGTGCAAGCATCACCTACGATGCTACAAGTATCACCTAGAATGCTACAAGCATTTCCTAGGATACTACAGGTTTGGATTAAGATGCTGCAGACATTATCTGGGATGCTACAAGAAGTATGTGAGAAGCTCCAGCTAATCTGCAGCACTGAGTAGGAATAATGGTGTACACAGAGACGTACATGGGTCGTGACGCTGAAATAAAAGGTGTTAGGTGGGGAACGCGCTTCCCCACTGAATATTCGCAGAACACTTGAGAAATTAAAATCTGAATAGTTAAATACTTGAATTCAAGTTTCAAGTATTACATATATGTGATCTCTGTAAACATAATTGTCTCTTTCTAAGAGAAAAAACTTTTCAATTGTTAAACTACTAACCTTTAGATAAGAAAAATGTTTGGTGATCGATTATTTTCGATGAAAGTAACAAGAAAATCTTTTTATTCTATTGTGTTTACAGGTCAAGAAGTACGAACCGATTCTGGCACGAAAACACGGTAAATTGCCGAAACATGGAAGCAGTATTTCGACGACAAATTTTTCAGATTTTTTCCGATGGATTTCGAATTTCTATCATTTACCACAAATTGTGGCACCCTAAATCGAATCCACATTTGTGGATAATGAAATCATAGGTGGTAACCAATTAGAGATTTCGATTTCGGGCACCATAATTTATGGTAAATGATAACATAACTGGATTTCGGCCAACTTTCTGTTCTTGTCGGTAGGAATCGACCGGAATACTGCTAAAAAAAAGAAATTCAAAATATATAAATTGTTTAATAATAAAATATTTTCAATTCGAAGAAATATAAAAGAGAAATTTGTGTTTATTTCGAGAATAAAATGATCTTATTTGAGAATGATAAATATATGAATTATTTCTTAGTCAAAGTTTCATTGATGATGTTTACTTTTTTTGGTTTATTTTCAATGATAAAATGATATTTACTTGTTTTATATAATAATTGTATAATAAATTGAATTAATTATAGTAAAGATTAAAGAAAAGTAAATTTAGTTCAACATCCATCTGATTAAATTCTTATAGAAAAAAAACCTGATTTATTTAAAAGATAATGAAAGAAAATAAAAATAAATATCAAGTATCACTTTGTTTTTTGTTATAACAATTTAAAATTTGAAATAAAAAGCAAATATTTGATATTCACATAGAATACCAGATGATAATATTCACATAAAAAAAAGTCAATTATAAATATAAATGTTCTTCGAAAAAATATTTAACAATGTATCAAATATATTTTTCTCATTGATTTAATGTGTTTCATTTATTGTTAATAATTGAATAAATTTGAATATATTGTTTGTAGATATGTTTCGATTTAATTTTTCTATATTATTAACATTTATTTTAATATATTCAATTAATATAAGTCTTGGAAGAATAAATGAATTAATTGAAAATAATGTTAAAAATTTTTTTTTCATTATGGACAATATCTTGTTCAGAATGGTTAAATGTATTTACAAATGATGCTGTTTGGTATCATCCGAATTTTCCTGATGGTTTACAATATAATCAATTATTAGATTTTTGTCAAATGAATCAACTAGTTAAACCAGCATTATTTCGTCAAGATGGTCAAATACGAGTTACAATAAGTGGTAATAAAACATCATCATCAAATTTCTATCATGTTATGGTTCCTTATGTTTATGGACAAATTCAAAATGGAAATAATAATTCATTATTTATTAATAGTGGTTATGAATATATTCAATTAGTACTTAATCGAAAAAATCAACTTCATATTAATATGGTTGTTGAATTCTTTAATCGAGCTTCATTACCATTCGCTTGGCTACCAAACAATTAATTAATAACAATTACAAAACTTTTTTTTTTTTGATTACTATCAAATAAAGAATGAATTTATTTGTTAAATATTCTTATATTTAAATACAAGGTAGCGCTCATCCTACAGATTCGTTGATCCTTTTCTGAAAGAAAACATTCGACGTTTATAGAGAATTTTTCGACAAAAACATTTTCAATTGTAGTTTATATATCAGATATTTTTTTGAATAATTTTGTAGTCTCTTTCTGCATCAAGATAAGTGAATAGTATTACCAGTTTTATACACGTAGGATATCTTACCTCAGAATTCGAATATTTCCAATCACGATTCGCACTGCAGTCGGTTCCAACTAGACCAATGCTGGTTTCAAGTAGATCTCGATCAATTCTATCCATTGCACTACCTTGTTCCCTAAAAAACCCTTCCATTCATATAAAAACTCCATTTTACGCTAAAAAGACATAGGAAAAAATCAGAAAAACTAGAATAAAGCGTCGCGATTCGCTTAACTGCTAATTCCCACAAAACAAATGATGGTTCCAGATAGAACTCGACGTGCTCTATCGAATGGACACCTTAAACGTTCAATTACGTCCTCCTAGCCCTCACAAACCGGTCAATCCGAGCCTCGATGTGGATCAGTCTTGTTATGACCCACCGCGATTCGCTCAACTACCGGTTCCAACAAAAACAATGACGATTCCAGACAGATGTCGATGAGAGCTATCGAATAGACACATTTTGAGCTCAATTCCATGATTCCATCATTGAGAAACTGGTCAATCTGGGTGCCAATTCCAACTTTTCGCTCTTAAAACCTGTCACGATTCGCTCAGTAGATGGTTTCAATAAAACAAATGATGGTTCTAAATAGAACTCGATGAGAGTTATCGAATGGACACCTTTTGAGGTCGATTCGATGCTCCCATCATTGAGAAACTGGCCAATACGGGTCCCAGATTTTTTGCAAAAATCGGTTGGGATTTGCTTCTCTAGCGGTTCTAACTAAACCAATGATAGTTCCAGATAGATCTCGACGACAGCTATTGAATGAACACATTTTGAGTTCAATTCGATCCTCGTATCATTTAGAAACCGGCCAATCAGGGGCACGATCTTAGACCTTTTTCATAAGACCTGTCACGATTCGCTCAACAGTCGGTTCCAACAAAATAAATGATGGTCCTATGTAGATCTCGGCGAGAACTATCCAATGGACATATCTACAGTGAGTTAACCATCCATGAAAATTATTTCTCGTATTTTTTTTCTGCATATGATTTTGTCTTTTTTGTTTATGTTTTTATGAATGAAATTCGAAGTACAGGATATTTTCATCTAAAGTAGTTTTAATTTAATTTAATTTTTTTGCTTTATGACTTTTATTTCTTTATGATTGTGTCTATGAGAGAAATTTGAAGGTGAGGTATTTTATGCAACATTTACTTTTACGTATGTTCCTTTTTTTCCCAAGATAATTGTCATTTTGGTTGAAGATGTTTATCGAAAAATAATTTTCATGTTGCTTTTTTATCTCTGGATGATTTTTTTCGAGCGTGCTTATCCATGATAAATAAATTGCAACATGTATATCGATGAAGAATAATTATATTTTGGGCTGAAATTTTTACTGTAAGTTTCCTAGATCTGCAGTTATATTTTCTGAAATGTTTCAGCTAGATTGGTTGTTCTGGAAGAAAAATTGATTATTGACAGAAGGAGGAGCCTTAAAGAGTTATTTTCTTTTTTAAAAATAATTATTTAAAATTATTAGAAAATGTGATGAAATTGACAAATATATTGTAACTACAATAGATCTAATATGAATCGGAAAAATTTTGAAAACAGAAAAAAATATTCGAAGAGAATAAAAATAAAACTAAATAGAAATAGAAAAATATGTTCGATCTATAATAAATTGTTAATTATTAAGGTAATCATTATGCCATAAAAAAGCATTTATTGCTGGTTTATGTATTTTATCATATGTTTGTTGAGAGCGAATTGATTGAGGACTCGATAATTGATCATAATCATTTCTATGTAAATAATGTTTTATTAATAAAATATAAATAATTGTTAATAGAAATAAAATAAAACTAATAGATAAACCAATTCGATAAATATAAAAAATAATCAATCGATGACATTTATTTATTAATTTTTGTAATGGATTAAGAGGAAAATCTCTTCTACATGTATCATCATAAATCGAATTAATTCGTTTAACAGATAAACCATAAACCATTCTAATAGCACGAATATCATCATGACACATTATTCTACTTGCATATAAATGCATAACAGCAAGAAAATTTTTATTTGCTAATTTCTTTTCTGTATGCTTTTCAATTAAAAAACAAATAAAAGATCAAATAATTATATTTCATATATTTAAATAAATAAAAAAATACCTCAATACCAAAACCATGAAGAGTTTCATGTAACATAACAGCATAAAGATCCATAAAACAATGACTTCCATCGGAATTACATTTATATTCAACTGGATCATATTGAAAATCTTGATGAATTAAAAATGTATGATGAATATTAAATTTCATTGTTGATATTGTTGAATTATTAATAGAATTTAATAGAATTCCTCCATGAGCACGATAACGATTGTCTTTAATAACCTGACGTGAATAAATAATCAATGATTCTATACTTTGAACATTTATTGTTGTTGATAATGAATCATCAGTTGGACATATTTCATAATTAAAAAAATTATAATGAAAATTAGCTTTATCAATAGATGTTGCTTGACCTATTGAAGATATTTTATTATTAATAAATTTATTTATATTATTAACAATATGATGAATATATGACTGAACATAATTTGAATGAATTTTATTTGGATAAAAATTACTAATCCAATAAATAAATTTATTTGGATGATTTAAATAACGCCAATCATTTAACCATAATTTATATTCAGGAAAAAGAACAAATCTTTTATGACGTTGAATTTCATTCGTTATCAAGCTTTGATCTCGACCTATTGATAAATATTCACATTTTATTTCATTATTATTTATACATTCATTTATACTTGTCAAAACAAATGAATAAAAAATAACAAATTGAGATGAGAAAAACATTTCTTTTTAAACTTAGTTACCAATCTATCAATTATATTTCAAAAAATTTTTTAAACATTTTATATTATAGATATCATTTTCATAATTCATTTATTGTTATTATTTACATTATCTCTATTTAGTCATTATATAGATTTTCATAATTAACATATTTAAATATTTTAGTTTATTTACAAATCAAAATTTAAAAACGTTAAATGAATCATTCATTTTAACATTGTTCATTTCAGAAATGAATATATTTATATTTGTTTTGCACTATTACAATAGCTAATGAAATCAACATGATTAAATGAAAAAAATATCAACAATAGGAAGAAACATCTCTATAAATGGATAAATTTATAAAATTAACTGGAACAGAAGATATACAATATATCATTATATAAATATGTTATATCAACGCACAAAAATTTATTCTGATGTAGTTTTATTTTTTTTTTAATACCTTTATAATTAATAATTTGATCTGTTATCAGACTTGAACAACTCAATATATTAAACAAAATAGTAACAAGAATAAAATATACTAATTAAAATCGAAATTATCTTTGAGAATTGACTATTTATATCATTTTTGAACAGAGAAACACTCATTTGACGAATATTAAAATATATAATCGATTCAAATCTAATCATTATCATGATTAAAATGATAAATAGAACAGTGAATATCGACATTGAAATGTAATTCTGATAAATAACGTCCGTTTCCTCATATGTTTATTTTTTGTCCTAGATAACATTTTATAAAATTAATCGAACAATAATATAATACCAAACATCAAACAATTATCATAATAAATATCATTTTATCAGATCATATGATTTTGTTGCAAAAATCAACTTGAACATTACTTCATATGACAATAAATATATAATCAAGTTTAGACAAACATGAATAACTGAAACAAACTCGATGAAAAGCATTAATAGGTTTAAATGTTGGGCTTTTTGACAAATGATTATCTAGAATAATATTAATTATTTAAGATGTTTCTTATTCTTTTCACTCACACCCTCAATAGATAATCTATTTTATCAAGAGCTTCACTGACAACACATCGATCTTAACTAGTCACTGTTTCGATCAGTAGTGGATCAACATAGAGTCGACAGAGAGATTCGAAATGTGTCAGTTCAATGAAATAACGTTGCATATTAAGAGCATCGTTCTCTTTGTAATTCAGACATACTGTGAGTAATTCGATCAATGCGTTCATTTTTTTTCCTGTACATCGAGCAATTTTTGAATAGAGGAATTCTATGAAGGAAAGTCAATGATTTTCAAGTATCATCTAGTCGACCAACGAAGAAGACTACAGAATAATCAGAAGATTAAAATCAGAGATTTGAAAAATATAGATCAGATTGCTTGTATGATGTTCAGAGAGTCAACATACAAAAAATTTCAACATGTTTTTGTGAAGTATGATCAAATGAGCCAACTTCTCTGTTTTTGTGATCGAGAACAATTCTAGACTATTATTCATCAACAAGGAGTAGAATAATATCACTCACACCTCTCGTCAATAAATGACGTCAAATAATGAGAAAATTCACTCTTTCGAACACGAAAAAAACCAAACTCATCAGTAGATTTCTTATGTTCTATGTTTTTTCGTATGAGTTTCTAATTCCTAAGTTTTTACAATATCTCATAGATCTTGAAGAAGCAGAAACTTGAAAATCTTTTAATATTATTGAATTTTTCATATCGAAGCCCACAAAATATTATTTTCATCTCTAAGGTTTACCATTTTCTTTGAGTTTCTCAAACTCTCATTGGTCAAAATTAATGATTCGCTAGAATAGACGGTAAATTGTTGTATGGAAGTAAATTGGAATAGGTTGAATAGCGTTACTCAACTTTTTTTTCTTGTGAATGACAATTCTAGTATCTTTCT